AGTAAATGTTTAGTGAATTCAGTAAATTTTAAAGACTTCCAAAAAAAGATAGTGTTTTATTATTGTTTTTATGACTTTTGTGAATATTATTCCAAATAAATGAATCTATGAATGAATTTAACTGATACATGTTGTTTATTTAAAGATACACAATCGATACTGTAATTTTACAGTGTAACCTTATTGAACCCCCATCATCATGTGATACTTGATGAAATTGAATGTTTAATCTGAGACTGATTTGAACATATTCATTTGATATCGGTTGGTTCAGTTGATATGATTCTTGGACAGTAATGTCGAGGTCTTATGTGTCAAAGGTCTTTCGCAGGTTTGGTGTTCAGCGTCAGTGAGTTGTGTTTTGGTGATGCATTTATGGATTCACATGGTGTTTGATTATTCTATTTGGTTTGATTTTATTTTATGCATATTTGGTGGATTATTGAATTTGTTGTAAATAGATATTGAGGTGATTTTGCACTTTGAATTAGAACATTTGCCTGATATTTAATTTCATATAGATATATGTTTAAAAGCCGTTGATCACTCTTTGATATTAGCTGTGTCAGTATGTTATTTAAGTCTTGCAGGTTATATATCTACCTATGAATGTTTTTATTGGAGATTAAGCAAATATTGCTGAAAATCAAACATTTAAACTGCTTGTCAAGGAGCAAAATAAAAAAAAAATCCATAATCATTTTATTATATTGAGCTGCTCTGAATAAAAAAAAACATTTACACACCAAATAAAGGTTGATACCATAATTATTAATTTCCTTCATATTATTCTAAAATATAGATAACGTTTAAACACCCCTTCATTAGCGGAAACAATTAATGTTAATCCTGAATTAATTTTTTTTAAGTAGCAGTACCAAATAAAGTATAGTTACAAGCATTGCATAAATTTTGACAACTATAAATATAATTTCACTCTACATATGCACAATAATCAGTAAAAACATCACGTGACAAAGTACAAGGAAATAGTACTTAACAAAATATCGAGGCACAGTCTTATTGCTGCAGCAAAATACTTATGTTTTTAGTTGTGCGGTTGTTTTTTTGTTCGGTAAAGTTAACTTCGGTATAGTTTAATTCATTTTACTTTGAATCCCATGGACGTGCTATCTGCCATACCATTATATAAGAATGATACAAAGAAGACATATATCGTAGTCTGAGGTGAGTTACTTTATTTATCATTTTACTATTTAAATTTGGAATGTTTACAGATGATAGGGCCAAATCATAACGGGATTTTATGCCAGTCGAAGTAACTCTAGCTTTTTCATGAACAACTGTCCTTATTTATAGATTGATATTCAACCATCACCTGCTTATTGTGTTTATATCTTCCTGTCATTGGGTCCTATTTTGGCTCACTTGTTTCATAATTAAATGAAGGTCTTTGTTTTATACCCAATTGACTGTACAATGTATCATTTATCTCTCTCTCTCTCTCTCTCTCTCTCTCTCTCTCTCTCTCTCTCTCTCTCTCTCTCTCTCTCTCTCTCTCTCTCTCTCTCTCTTTCAAACTTAAATATCGGGCACCGGTAGGTATCTTGTAAATACAATTCTTCTGGTCAAATAACATGTATTTTGAGCTCTCTTTAACCATTTCAGCATACATCTAATCATCATTAGAAAGGATAAAATCCCTTGTGCTGTGCAAACTAACGGCTTAAAAAAATTACTTGAATTATCCCCGCCCTCCAAACACAAACACTTTTACAATTACATCTGAAAGGATCCGAAAAAGTTCACTTTTTCTTAATAGAGGCATTAAATTGATCGTTTAGAGTATACTTTTAATCCCTGACAAGAGGCACAGGGAACAAAGCGCCCAAGCCACACATTAATCGCTTAAATATAAGCAAAATTAATATGACAAAAATATAAGAGGCGGTATCTTGGCAAATTATCAAGAACACTTGCGCTTCACTGTGATTGGCTGAAACAAAAATAGAAACAAAACTTCATTAACTTCCTTGTTTTTGACAAAATATTTAAGATTTTAAATAAACGTATCTATCATAAGGTTCTACAAGTTTACGTATTCAGAAATTATTGAATACAACCGTAGGCTGGTTTGCTGTATTTTGACTGCCTAGAATTTTGAAAACTATGACTTTCATAGTTTTCAATAAAACAGGATGGGATTTGGAAAATACATAGGTTCACGTACAGATTTCGTCAAAAATCTTTCTAATATTAAGCTACAGATTTAAGCAGTACACTATTATACACCTTTCAGTGTGTAAAATGTTACTTCTGAGTAGGTATTGGCTTTGTATTTACTTTTCAAGATTTATATAAAGATAACCTAACCTTTGCCGATTTTTAAACAAGATGTTGAAACAATTGTTTTTTGAGTGTTAACGTTTCTGTGTAAAAAAAAAATATATATATGGTGTCACATTGATGAATTGTTCATAAAATTTTTTTTTCCTCATTTTCATAGAAAGGATATACTGTTTGGGAAATTCAAAAGTAAAAACATATAAATCACACAATATAATAATACTTATCGTTAAACAAAACATTTTTCACAGTAGGTTTAAAAAAATGCCTAAATTAAGTATCAAAATGCAAAAAAAAAAAAAAATATCGTAGAGAGAATACTAGTTGAAAAAGCTACACTTTTAAGAAATTATAAATTTTCATTACATGAAAAGTACTGGGAACTTATATGCGATATGCTAGATTGTACTTGTATTTATTTTTCTAGATTTATGAAACATATAGAAGTCTTTTTGTACGGTGTCCTGATAGGACCGTTGCAAAGGTATATAAGCGCGTTAGAAAAAACTCGCAAGTGCGTTTATGACTACACGCTAGCCCTCAAATGAAAACGCGATGGCGCGTTGTTAGAAACAACATTCAAGCGCATTAATATCGACGCGTTTTCATGTTAGCGCGCTAGCGCGTTGTCATTAATGCGCTTACGTGTTGTTTCGAACGCGCTAATACTATATTGCAAGGAATCTATTGGGACACCCTATCTTTGGCATGCATCATTGGCGTCGGAAGCAAATTGAAAGGGGGGGGGGGGCTAGGTTTAAAAAAAAATACAGCTTCTCAAACAAACCTGACAAGCAAAAAAAGGAACCAAAAAAAAAAGGAAATGTCAATTTCACAATCACGAAAATCCTTTTCGTGGGGGGGGGGGGGGGGGGGGGGGGGGGGGGGGGGGGGGGGGGGGGGTCCAACTTCAGTACCAAAAAAATTATTTCTAAACACTACCTTTTCCCCATTTTTCACCTATACTGCTACATGTCTGGAAAGTGGGGGGGGGGGGGGCTACACCTACGAAGCAATGTTCAATATCTATACGAAGTATATATTTGGAAAAAAAAGTGGGGCGGGTATGTCTATACTAAGTATATGTTTGGAAAAAATAGGGGGGCTAACCCCCCCCCCCCCCCCCTCCCCGGTTCCGACGCCTATGCATCGTAGATGTATTTAAATGTTGAATTAAAAGACACAGCAATAGGCTTTGATTTTTAAGAACAATTCTATGAAGGATTATTCTGTTTATCAAAAAAAAAAATACAAAGCTCTCATGTCACGTGTGGCTGAACCTTGGGGATGCTTATTACTCCTAGGCACCTGATAGAACGACTGATATTTCCTGAACTCCGTATTTTAAGCTTTCTGGAAAGATGTTTATTGATTGTATATTTTTTACAAAACTTCAGAAAAATATTGTACATATAAAATCATACAAAAATGATTCAAAATAATAAAAAAAGAAAAGGGGAATTGACAAGTCCATAGGATTTTCTTCCCTGAAAACATAAATTCTCAAAATTTGATCCGGAAATCACTTTTCTTTTCCCGAGTTGCTTTTTATGTATGTGACCGGTCAGCAGGGGATGTTCAGTCCTCCATGGCACCTGATGCTACCTGTGATGAAGGAAGTGGAGATAACGAACAGTATTCAATGACCCTTTATTCGATGATGAATTCTAAAAGTATAGCTCCTTTATTGGTGAACAATTCAAAATTTTAAACATGTAATCTGCCTTAAATACATTTATTGAAAGGTTTATTTACAACCATTTTAATCAATTAAGTGAAAAACCTTTAGTTATTTCTTATAATTTATAAATTTTTTGGGATGTACAAAGGGAAAAGTTATGTTTTTATACCACTCAACTACTTGAATTTTATTTATTGATAATACCTAAACGTCTGGTTGAATGTCGCAACAAGACTTTTCTTCATCTTATCATATACGCACAAGTTGTTGACTGATTTGAAAAAAAAAATATTGATAAAAATCCTGATTCTTTTCAAACAAAATGTGCAAATGTTAAAAAATCAAATTGAAAAAAATATTGTAAACACTAGATTTTTGTTTGAAAAAATTATTTTGGAAAGGATTACTGAAACAGACATGCCAATAAGTATTCTAAATTAAGAGACGCTTTTGAGAAAAAGCAAAAGTTTGCTTGTGAAGAACGACTCGTTAATTATACTGGGTCTCTTCCTTGTCAGAAAGGACCGATATTAAAATTTGAATTTCCAACGGATATAATCGATCTGTGTTTTCTCTGTGTATTTATATCCTTAACGTTGAATACTGAAGAATATATTTTTTTGTAAGGTTTAATAACATTTTTTTGTTCAAATAATGCATTTTTATGTGCATTGCTCAATTTGTGAAAAATTCAAAATCAAATAAGCAAATACAATTTATCATTAAGTCAAATGCTGACTGACATTTTTCATACTTAGTCTAATTGTTAGTCCATTATTTATACATTGAATTGTCCGGTCGGCAGGGGATGCTCACTCCTCCATTGCATCTGATCCCACCTCTGATGTTTGGGAGGTCCGTGTTTGCTCTGATCCTGCTTTGTATTGTTTTATGGACTTTGATATTGAATACTGTTCGTTATCTCCATTTCCTCCTCTTGGGGGTCTGAGTTTGTCCTCTACCTCATTTGTGGGTTGTGTTTTTTTTAATTAAAGGCTAAAATGTTTGTTATCTCTATATCTTATAAAAAGACCAAATGAAAAACAGTTGACCTTGACAAAAAAATCAGCTGAATCCCCCCTGAATTTGTATGGTTCTTGAAAGCTTTCGTTTTTAAATTCAGATATATCTGTTTTCGAAAGTTTTGACATGAGCATCAGCAAAGAGACAAAATTTGTCTGAATGGGCAACTGGTGCATTAAAATTGGAACCGTAAAAGATTGCTATTAATTTCGAAAATCAATAAAGCATTGTACTGTCATTTCAGAGTATTAACTGAAAGGAATCAAAGAATGGCTTCTGGACCAGACCCTGGCGGCCGTTCCAGGTTTGCTAAACTCGGAATGGCAATAAACGAAGAACTGACCAAGGCCTGTAGAGATGTCTTAGAAATGGAAGTACCCCCTGGGCTTGTCTACAATAAAGTGAAGTTATCATCGATTTATAAAAACATACGTCCTGAGCAAGAACGTCGTCTTATAGGCGCAAAAACTGATGGTTATAAAGAATTTGATATAACACTGTTATATACACTGATAAGAAACATATGTACAAAGATTCCTCGTCCAACAAAAGGTTGGGGTGGAAGCACGATGCCGTCAGTAGGAGAAATAACGATTGGCGATGACGTTGAGAGGATTAGGATGATACGAAATGACATGTTTGGACACATAAGCTCGGCTTCTACCTCAAAGACAGATTTTGATGACACATGGATAGTAATAACTGATATCTGCCAAAGGCTGCAAGCGTATACAAACAAAGACTATTTGTCTGGACTGAGTAATATTCAAAGTCAAGCCTTAGAAGAGGAGTACGAAACAACAGTCATAGAAAAACTTAGGGAAGATTTTAAGAATAACCAATCTCTAATGGAAAAGTTATCTTCTGTGGAAAAGGATTTGCAAGAATTGAAAAGAAAATCCGAAGACAAAGGTGACTATAATAAATACTGTCATTAAAATATTTACTACATACGATATATGGCAGAGACTAGTGTTTCTTTCTAACATCACAAATACATTTCTCTATATTAGTAATGTGGAATATGTTTCCTTAAGATTCTTGAAATTTGAACAAATGTTGGCTAAGCAAGAAAATCTCCATGATACCTACAAGACGTTAGTACTATAATGCAAACTATAATGATCGAATAATTACAAAAATGTCTGTCTTGTTATCGGGGATAGAGCCTAAACATTTTTTTTTAAATTTCATCTATTAGAGTTCTCGATGTACTCGAACTACCAAACTTAAGGCCTGCATATATATCATGGAGTTGTTACATGCCAGTGTTGAAACTGAGACGCGCTTTGAAGCCATTTTTTTCTAGGAGACCATGCTGTAATCGTAGAGGAAGATTTCCGCATATTTTCATATACCTGTTGTAAAACTTAGTCTACCACTAGATATAGAGTCAGACTTTCCACGTTGTAGGTCTTTCACTTCATATAATCTTTTTTTAACATGTGCAACATTCACTCTAGATAAATCTTATACTTGTAGTTGCATTCATCAAAAATCGTGGATGTTAACTTATCCCTGACAGCCATTTATCCGTTTCTCTTGTATATTTTTGAATGAACTAGGGTAAAAAAAGAGCAAATTTATCATGTTTGTAAGTTAACATTTTTTTCCAAAGTTAATTCAAATTTTAAGTATAATTGGCCGAGTAACTGCGTTTATGTCTATGTAAAACAATAGACCGATTAACTGCATTTCTTTCTATGTGAAACACTTAAATTACCGTAAGATATTTAAAAAAAATTACCTGCAACCCAATTTTATATTATTTTGTTTGCATTAGATAATAACCCCATACTCTTATTTTTTTTCTATTATATGGCATGAGAATCCTTTCCATCCATAGTTTTTATTTGTACTTCACCATAAACCACAACTTAAAGACAGTACATACATTCCTTTCTTTTTTCTGAATACTTAAAATTACAGACTTTCTTGTAGTAAATATATGTTGCATTCACAAAAAACAATGCAACAGTATTTTTCAATACTTAATTCAGATTAAGATGAGTTTAAGAGCACAATCTAAGTGGACAATTATACAGTTTTACAAAAAAAATACAATTTGATTTAACAATTTTTTATTTTCTGTTTTTATACTAATTATCTTTAAAAAAATATGTTTTTTTAGAAAACATTCTGGTGAAAGAGATTCTGGACAATTGGCGGGAAGACGATGTTGCCTTCATTCCTACACGAGCAAGTGAAGCGGTTCAAAAAAAGCTTAAAAGTCTGAACCTTATCACAGTGGTTGGAAATTCTGGGTCCGGAAAATCTGCAATAATTCAGCATATTGCACTTATTCTCAAAGAGCAGGGATGGAATGTCATACCGGTGGATAAGGTGGAAGAAATTAAAAAGATCTGTTCAACTGGAGTCTCAGAAAATCGTATATTATTTGTATTCAATGATCCTCTAGGTAAGGAGTCGTTAGATGAAATTTTGTATCACTCATTGAAAAGTTTAGAGAAAACGCTGGAGATTTGCTTGAAGAAGAATAAACTATTGATATCATGTAGAAGATGCGTCTTTTATGACAAGAGAATCAAGGGTAACTTATTGGATGATTCATCTGCAGTAGAGATTGATAACGAAAAAAATGGACTGACGATTGACGAGAAAAGAGCGATCTTAAATCAGTATTCACAGAATCTTCATTTATCCGAGGAAGTTTTTACCGAAATAATCAAAACCGAAGCTTATTTCCCATTGCTTTGTAAGCTTTATTCAAGGGAGGAGTACTACAAAGAAAAGGGGGTGGATTTCTTTAAAAATCCGTACAAATTTATTAAAAAGGAAATTGAAGTTTGGAAGAAAACAGACAAGAAAAGATTTTGCTCACTTATCTTGATAGTGGCTTTTAAAAACAATTTGAAAATCGATGCTATTGTAAAAAATGATATTTGTTTGATGAAATTTAAAGAAATTTTAGGTATGTGTGAGTTACAAGAAAACACACATATTTCAGTCATTCGTAGTACTCTACATGAATTGAAAGGATCCTATGCCAAACGTGTCGGAAATGCTTTCCAATTCTTTCACGACTTTATTATGGAGATAACGACTCTGGTGTTTGGTGTGGATTGTCCACAAGAGACAATACAATACGCAGACAGTGGTTTTCTGAGACGTCGGGTAAGGATAGAAGACGATACAGAAGAGAAAGATCGCGATCCCTTCACTGTTTACCTTCCTGAAGAGTACATTGATGATCTTGTGGACAAGTTTATCACTGACATGCAAACAGAAAACCTTGTAGATGTACTACTCAATCCATGTTTGAGGAAAGAGAGTGTGATCAATTCTTTCAAGGAAAAAGTGGATTCGGTTGAAAAACTTCTTGTAAAAATTAAGTGTGAAAAAGACATATCGGAATATCAAAGATCATTTGAAAGATCTTTTTTCACAAGACTTGATTTCCTTTATTCATTTGAAAGTGAAATATGCCCTTTAGTTGGTCTTATTGTATTTTGTCATTCTGACATTTCTTCATTTTTCATAAAAAGTATCCCTGAAACAAAGTTGAAAGAATATCCTATATTTACTGCTATATGTGCGAATGGAGATTTAAACCTACTTAATTCTCTCAGCGAAGAATATAAAAAAACAGCAATGATGGAAATATGGGATGACTCTTTACCAATTCATTTTGCTTCGGTTTTTCATAATTTTTTAATAATAAAAGAATTAGTAAGACTCGGTGCTGACGTAAACAAGTTTACACCTGATAACATGTGGACTCCGTTATTACTTGCTGCTGGAAATGATGAAAATCATTTCAAAGAGGCCGGAATCGACACAAAAACTGGAGAAAGACGTAATTATACAAGTATTTGCTTATTGAACAACGGTGCTAAAATCAAGTTATCTGATATTGAGAATAAAGACAGCCCTCTTTGTATGGCTTGTTATAGAGGACGTGATATCACGGTACAACTGTTACTAGACAACGGTGCCGACATCAAGTTATGTGATAACGATGGATTCAGTCCTCTTCATATAGCTTGTCAAAATGGACATGATAGCACGGTACAACTGTTACTGAACAACGGTGCCGACATCAATTTGTGCAACAAGAATGGAACCAGTCCTCTTTATATAGCTTGTCAAAATGGACATGATAGCATGGTACAACTGTTACTGAACAACGGTGCCGATATCAATTTATGTAACAAGAATGGAGTCAGTCCTCTTTATATAGCTTGTCAAAATGGACATGATAGCACGGTACAACTGTTACTGAACAACGCTGCCGATATCAATTTATGTAACAAGAATGGAGTCAGTCCTCTTTATATAGCTTGTGAATATGGACATGATAGCACAGTACAACTGTTACTGGACAATGGTGCCGACATCAATTTATGTGAAACTGATGGAACCAGTCCTCTTTATATAGCTTGTCAAAATGGACATGATAGCATGGTACAACTGTTACTTAACAACAGTGCCGACATCAATCTATGTAAAAAGAATGGAGTTACTCCTCTTTATATTGCTTGTCAAAATGGACATGATAGCACGGTACAACTGTTACTGAACAACGATGCCGACATTAATTTATGTGATAAAGATGGAAACAGTTCTCTTTGGATAGCTTGTGAAAACTCACATTGCAGCACCATCGAACTTCTATTAAATTCAGGTGCTGATGTAAATTTATGCAATAAAGGCAACCGCAGTCCGTTTTACATAGCATGTCTGAACGGTGATGACAGTATGGTTAAACTTTTATTGAACAAAGGTGCAGACATCAATTTATGTGACAATGAGGGAGCCAGTCCTCTCTATATAGCCTGTGTAAATGGACACTACAGCACGGTCGAATTATTATTATTAAGAACTGATACTTGCATTAATTTATGCAATAAAGACAATATGAGTCCACTGTTTATAGCATATTTATATGGTCATGACAGTATCGCTGAACTTTTACTACAATTTGGTGCTAAGTTTTTATTCTGAAGATGGATTAAATGGTTTCTCAATACCAAGTGCGTTCACATTATTTCTGAGAAATGGAGGAAAAATAAATTTAAGCTTTGATTAGAGCTTGCGAAAATGAGTAGGATACTATCATATAGAATTTTAAGCATTTATTTAAAAGAAAATTACATAAGAGGAAGAATACACATGCTGTATCTTTCATTTCAACATTCAGATATATCGACGACGTATTATCAATTACAAGTATCAATATTTATTTTCATTTATATGTCGACTTGCTATTTCCTAGTGAATCTGAAATCGAAAACACCACAAAATCGTTCTGTTACTTCTGTTTCATGTTCGAATGTTTTGAAAATCATATTATATTTTTTAATTACATTGTTAGCAAATATAACCTTTTATGAATGGGTTTTACACCAAGTGATAGACTGTTTTGTACTTAAATTGACAAAGGAACGTTACCTCTGTCCATCGACAAAAAAAAGCATTTCGAGTATGACCGATCAAAAGGGTATGTTTTCTTATTTTGGGCACCTGAGTCTTCTCCTGGAGTGCTTGGGATTAATGTTTTTTGTTTGGTTTACAGGTATTTATAGCTTTAAAAAAAATGTGTAGATTGATCTGTTTTCTTTTAGTTTTAGTGATTCCTTCAGTACTGTTAATCGCCAAATTTTCTGTGACATCTGGGGTTTTTTTTTAGATGGATACTTCGTATGTAAAAGCGAGATATGGTACTTTAAAGAAATTTTTCTAAAGTTTGTGTTACTGTTCATATTAAATAATGATGATTTTTTTTAAGAAAACACAAAAAAAGTTCTTTTGAATAAAAAGTATATGTATTTACAGTAATTTATTAAGCTTACTTATTTTTTAATATCATACGGCTTTCTTTATTTTATTTTACTACTGCTATTCGACACGTATTTTAGATTTCCCGTAGCAAAACATGGACATTGCCATTACATTCTAAATTTATTTATTCTATATTTATATCCTATAAACGTAAAATATAGAGGCCTCTTGGTAACATTTGATAAGACGAGTTATTTTTCTTTACACATTACCGTAAAACAATGGCAAAACATAGACATTATGGGAGGCGGGGGTATCATTTAGTGAGGTCATCGGTCACAGTACCTCTATTTTATCTGGGTGTAATTAAGGGCTTTATTTTAAAAATATCTTAACTCTTTACAGGCTTTATTTTAAAAATATCTTAACTTAACAGGCGACACTTTATTTTAAAAATATCTTAACTCTTTACAGGCGACACTTGAGTTCGATTGATTGATTGATTGTATATTGTTTAACGTCCCTCTTGAGAATTTTTCACTCATATGGAGACGTCACCAATGCCGGTGAAGGGCTTCAAATTTAGACCTATACTCGGCACTCAGGGCCATTGAGCAGTGAGGGTTCTTTATCGTGCCAACGCCTACCGTGACACGGGACCTACGTTTTTAAGGTCATATCCGAAAGACCCGTGACTTTCACTTCTAGTGCCGAGCGCTTGGCGAAGGAACAGTCACTACCTATGTTTACGTCTTAGGTATGACGCGGCGCCGCGATCGAGAATCGAACCCGGGCCTCCCGATCACGAAGCGAACGCTCTACCACTAGGCTACCGTGACCGGTCACTTGAGTTCGAAATGTTATGTCTACAACATACAGTAACTGTTATATTCTGTTGATTAATCGAAATTCGTTTGACCAATATTTTTTAATTGTTTAAAGATTATATGTTCGGGGGAGGTGGGGTGAGGGGGGGGTATATATCATATATTCCTTAATATGTACAGATCTTGACGGCATGTGTCTTTTAAGCCCCTGTATATCAATTCTTTGATGAAGGTTCGCAAAATTATACGAAATAATGAAACATGTCACAGATACATTTCTTTTTTTAAATACATGTTTTACATTTGTCGGTATATTATTGATTTCTTTTTGTCTTTTCTTTTTTGAAATTGAAAATATGTGTACATGTATTAATTTTGTATTAATATTGTTTGTTTGATTTCTTTTATAGTGCTTTTTTATTGTATGATATTTAGGATAATGCATTCCCTTTTGTCAAAAAAAGGAAGAATGAAGGAATGTTGAAAATATATATGTTGTGCAAAGTTGTTTTGTGAGCTAATCTAAAGTAACTTATCGACAATTACAGTACTAGTTACAATTAAATTCAAACTTTTGAAATTATGCAATAAATGTGGCATAAGTTAATGTGATACATGCGAATTTTGTTTTTGTTTGATATTGTGTATAGTACATGTAAATATATTTTCAAGGTCGTATTTTATGCAGTTTCATATTGTGTGTTTATGTGTCAGAAAATATAATCTGTCATTAAATGAAATGACTCATATTTTTTCCTACTGATTGCTAGACCATCATTTATACACTGCATTGTCGACGGATTTTTCCGTTTCTTTCCTGAACATTACAATAAGTACACGCCGGGTGTGACCAGTTTGCAGGGAATGCTTATTATTCAATGTCACCTGATCCCACTCCTGATGTTTTGGAGGTCAGTGTTTGCTCTGATATTATTTTGTAACTTTTAATGGACTTTTTTTATTGCTTTTAAAAATTTGTGTGGATTGATCTTTTTTTTTTCTTTTAAAATTTTAGTGATTACTGCAGTACTATTAATCGCCAAATTTTCTGTGACAAATGTGTTTTTTAGATGGAAACTTCGGGATTTAAAGGCGAGATAGAGATATTGTACTTTAAAGAAATTTTCGTGTTATTTTTCATATTTAATAATAATACTTTTATACGCAAGAATCTTTATTTATTGTAAGAAAACATTAAAAAGTTCTTTTGAATAAAAAGTATGCTTTTTTACAGTATTTTTTTTTTTTGCTTGATTACACTTTAATGTCATGTGACTTTCTTTTTTTTTTTATTGTACTACTGCTGTTTAAAGGTTTAAGTTATCAATAAAATTCAGTCTAATAAACCGTCTTGTTTCAAGAGAGCAAAGTCTTGCGCTACAAAAAGCTTTTAGTTCTTGTTAGCATCAAGGGAGCAGTCTGTTATTTGATATAAAGCTTAAACAT